ATCATCATTTTTACATACAAATAAAGTGAAATTAACGTCACATCAAAGTATCAAACATTTATTATTTCATTTTACTCATCCAAAACTAGTACAACCTAACTAAGTATAATAGTACATATTGAAATTGAAGATGTTGGTTTATAAATTTATATTTTATAATTATTTTATTATACAAATAAAAAAATCTAAAATGTCATATACTATTATCTAATTTAAAAAATCTAATTCACAATTATAACAAAAATAATATATTACCAAATTTATAATATAAATAAATTAATAAATAAAATACAAGATTTGGTTATCAATGTATATTATTAATTATAATATAATAATAAACATGACTAAAAATTATTAGAAAATGCTTCCATATCATATGATTAAAACCAAAATAAAATCCCCGATAAATTTTAATGTGATGATATTCATATGATTACAAGTTCTTAAGATAAATAAACAATATGACTTTCAATATAATTATACTAATTTTTGCAAATGAATTAAATAGAATTTCTTTATGTAATTATATGCAATTAAAACTTAACTATATGTACTTTTATTTTTTTTACATCATAAAAAAAAGAATAAATATTATTAATCTTAAAAAAATTATTTTGTTGAACATTTCATGGAAAATCTAAGTAAGAGAGATAGCTAAGTGTGATTCAAATGTGACAGGTGGGTGGTGGGGTAGGGCCCATCACTATAATTTTATAAGAAAAGGGTCCACCACTATAAGTTTATAAGAAAGCTACTTCAAAATTTGAACTCCCGTCAAAGTTCAACTTCAATACGTTTGGTGATGGACGAGTCCAAACACTCCTATATCTAACTCTTGTGGTTTTTGCAAACATTATATTTTTCAAATTGATCAGCACATCCACCTTAGAGATACCCCATCCTTCTTTAGTTGCTGCCAACCAATACCAAACCAAATGGTTAGTTTTGCTCAAAACCATTTCCTCGTTCAAACATTCACCTTCAAAGGTTCTATGATTTCTTTCTTTCCATATCTCCCACATGTTCACACCTGTTGTATTCTTCCAAATAGCCTTACCATTCTTCGGTAAATCAACAATAGAGAGATGCATCACAATAACTAGCACTGAATGAAGTAATGGCAGACTAATGCCCAAAAGAGAAAGAAAACACCACCAAATCTTATTAGCAAAGCAGCATTGTAAAAATAAGTGATCCCCAAATTCCACTTTTTCTTTGCACAGTAAACAAACATTAGGTAAGATCTTTCCTCTTTTAAAATTAGATTATCAATGGTTAGAATTTTGTCTTTCGTAGCCAACCAAATGAAAACTTGTACTTTGTGTGGGATGGACCACTTCTAGATCTGTGAAATTTGGGGCAACGACTACCACCAACGATTATGGAAGAGTAGTCTATAACATGACTTTACTGTAAAAAGTCCATCACTTTCAACATCCCAACATACCCCATCTTCCAAGTTTGATGGGATATGCGTTTCACTTAAAATTTCAAGCAAAGAGGTCAGCTCCGGGATCATATCTTCTCGAAGCCTATCGTAGGGAAAAGTTATATTCCAGGTAACTGAGTTAACAACACCTTCAAAGACCTCTGAAAAGTGTACCAAAGAAAGACGTCCAAAAATCCAGTTTCTCCACTTGTTTCCAAAACCCATTCTCCGTATTATATCATGAAGCACCCCTCACTCCACTCCATCATATGTTTTCTCCATGTCCAATTTGATCACCACACCTTGGGTTTGGCTCGATACCTTGGAATGAATACATTCCTGAGCCACCATCACACTATCTATTATAAGATGGTCCTGAATAAAAGTTGATTGTGGACACGAGATAAAAGCAGGAAATACGGTTTTAAGCCTAGTAGCCAAAACTTAAGCCACTATTTTATATATACTTGATAGCAGATTAATTGATCTGATACCGAATAACTCAACAATAAATTCCTTGTTTGGGATCAAGGCAATATACATCGAGTTTATCCCTTTGAATATCTTCTGACTTAAAAACTCTTTCACCATTTCAAGCAATTTCCCTTTCGTCAAATCTCAAAACTTATGGAAGAAGATAAGGGGAAATCCATCTGGACCCGGTACCTTATCAACTGCTAAATCAAACACTGCCAGTTTCAACTATTCCAGAGAGATATCTACCTGTAGCCGATCCTGGGACAGGAACTTGAATGGCACATGATCCAACCTTGGAGTAAATCTAGCATCACTCGTAAAGGCCTTTTTAAAGTGCTCAACTATAGCTGAGGTCATACTTTGATAATCACCAGGGTCCACTCTAGGGATAGTGATACCCGAAATGTTATTTTTTCTTTTACGAGCACTAGCAATGGCATGAAAAATATTTAGTATTACGATCCCTTTCTTTTAGCCATTTTGATCTCGATATTTGTTTTCAATAAATTTCTTCCGACCTTTGGAGGTTAAGAAGAGATTTAAGCTTGGCATTTCTCTCAATCTGCACCTTTTCAAACAAAGTTCCCTGTTGTTGGATATTAAGATCCAACAATTCAAGATCCAGAAGGACTTCCTCAATCTTTGACATTACTAGGTAGCAGTTGTCTCTCTTCTAAGTGATCAACTTATACTTAATGTTAAGAAATTTCTTATGTAATTAAAAGTCAACCGACCCATAGGTAATTTTGTTCATCCAAGTGGTCTAAATTAAGTCAATCACCTCTTGTTCCTCTAACCAACCTA